CTCTCTTGTATTACATTCAAATTATATGCAAAAGTACTTGGTGATATTGTAATTGGCTATTGTTGTCTTGCATTACATTCAAATTATATGAAAATTACCAGATTCTGATAGAACTGAATGATCAACCATTACCATAATATTTCAAAATCAATATTAGTGTAGTTGTTCATCCCTCAGATTGTGGGGGATGGTGATATGTAGCAGTTCTAGATTTTGATGGTTGGTGTCACAAACAACATTGTGCTTGGTATTTGACATCTCAACACAGTCATTCATATACATTAGTAGTGCATGTAGTATGTAGTGAGGAACATCAACGCAAACAAAACAATCCATTAGTATTCTTAGGGTGGTGTAGGTGACAAATTATTTAGGAATGATTTATATAACAGTTGTTTATCTTGTCACTTGTAGTAATTAAACACTCGCCCTCCAAGAAAGGGAAGTCTTTTTCTGGACCTCATGGCACTTGCAAGACGCACACAGCCAACATCATTCGAACTAGGAACAACAATGTCAACAGAACCCCCTACACCAAGTAAGTACATGTGTCATATCTTACCATGGAGGCTACATGTGTGACCTGCCTTAGGATCAAAAGTTCAATGTAGGATAAAAAACAAAAAAACAAATCCCCCTCAAATTGATAATCGGACAGTAGTATTGCATAGCAGTTGGTTGTCGGGTGGGTGTAAAAAGACTTTACAAATGCACCTCATTTGACGCACATATTTACACTCGGACCAAACCATTTTCTCGTCTTGGATGTTTGCTTTTTTATTTTCTGTTATTTCTGTCCATGATTGGATAGAAAAAAAAGAGAACTTCAAATACTGACTTCATTAAAAAAAAAATCGTTTTTGTAGGATGGAAACTTTTTGAGGTCAACCCCCCACCCCACCCCCAAACTAAAGCAAATAAGTTTTTTATCCGACATCGATCTTTTGACGTCGTCCCTTACTGGCTCGCATTGTTTACTCAGCATAAATTAAAACATCATAATCAACACACCATGTTTATTTCAAAAATGAACCTCATGTATCCTTTATAGGGTGCTTGTTTGATCAGTTTAATGTCAAAACATTTATCAATGGAAATTTCCAAATTCCCAAAATTATGTTTATTCATTGACATATCGTTGTAAATGAGACATTATTTTATTTTCAGTTAAACCAGATATTCTGCCAAGTACACCACCCCCTCCTTTTGAAACAAAAGTACACATGTCACCATCCGATCCAAGCAGAAGAACAGTGACAGAAGTTGTTACACCGAAACCAGTCGAGATTACAACAAGAACAGTAACAGAAGTTGTTACATCGAAACCAGTCGAGAATACAACAAGAACAGGAGGAGAGCTTTCAGACACAGTCCCTCCAATAAATGAAACAAAATCAATCAAATCAGTTACAATTGGAACGCAACCTGACGAAATTATGTTTCCAGTCGACGAAAATACAGAAAGGTATTGAAAGTAAAAATATCTGATGATGTATATAGCTAGTTACAAATCTGTTGTGTTTATATGTTGTGATCAATATTTTCAAAAACAGATTAACAATGATGTCATTACTAACTGAAGCTATATTTTGTTAGCTGATGTATGATTGCCTTTTAACCACCAGACTTTCTCACCCAAAGATTTGTGCACTTTATTCTACCGGTAATATTCTTCAATATTTCTAGAAAATGAATCCTAATTTTGGAGCCAACAGTCAAAATTTCAGTCAATTTTTACTCAAAAATTTGGCTATTTTTATCTCAATCTTCTGAAAGAAAATGCAGATTATAAATGGGACTATTTTTGACTCCCATGTGCGAAGCACAAAATGGGAGTCTTTGCAGTTAGTGTGTGTGTGTGTGTATGTGTGTATGTGTGTCTGACTGTTCCACTGCTATCTCAAGAACCATACATCGTTTTTTGATGAAACTTGGTGCATA